ACATACACACACACACACACGCAAGACAGAGAGAGAGAGAGAGATCGCGAGCGAGCTTGTGCGAGTGCGATCCGAATCTGAACGGTCGATTCTTCTAGTGACTCTAGTGTGCAGCACATCGAACAAAGAAGCCAGCCCGATTGACCAGTAGATTGACACTGCAGAACGAAGAGCGAAATGTGTTTTGCATGTGTGCTCAATAACAACTCGAAGTTTAGTCGGGGTCTCTGTGTGTGCAGAATTTACTGGGAACGTTTTTCGCCACGACCCGAGTAGCAATAAACACAGCCGTGCGGGTATTCATGCAAGCAAAAAGGAGCAGCAGCACCAACAGCAATTAACAAGAGCCGGCTTCGTTGAGTGATTCTGGCACAGGTCCTGCAATTCGAGTTTCGCCGTTCCTCTTTGGACTATGAGGTCTTGACAGAGCAGTTGAATGGATTCCTCAGCTGCTGCCACGAACTCAGGGAGTATGTGCTTTACCTCAGGAGTTTCCCTTGTCGAGCAGCCGCCTTTTGCTCGACGGAAGCAACATCGGAAATTCGGGAAGAAATTCTGAAGGCTGCTGAGGAAGAGTACAGGATGATCAAAGAGATCGAGGCCGCGGCCTCTGGGGCAAGTGTGCTCAAGCAGCATGGGCTGCACACCACGTTCCAGATGTACCGGGAGATTATGGCTACCATGCAGCTGCACCAGTTCAAAGATTGCAAGGCAATTGAGGACATTGTGCAAGCCTGGTACCCTCCTTGGGGCCAGTCATCCTGCTTGGAACAGGTGTTTCGAGAGCTGGAGCAGGCTACGAAGCGGGTGGGCCATGTGGGAGACTCGATGTCGAACCTCACATGTGTGGCTGTGAGGGCTTTGGAAAGGAGGGTGTGCTCTGACGAGCAGACTCCTGTGACGCCTTCCTTGTGCGAAAAGGACTGGCAGGGTCAGGTGGTACGCAACCTGAAGGACAAGATGTGGCATCCGACTTCAGCTCCTGCCTGCATCTTGAGTCTGGTTTAACAGGTTTAGATTGGGAAGCGGTGCTTGCTGAGCAGGGGGCTTTGGAAACATAACAGCCAAGGCAAGAACGTGAAAATCGACGACATCATAAAGCCTTTTACCACCATGACGGCCTACTCTCAGACACACCACAACTTCAACTGTCTGTTGGGGTGGAAAGAAGCGAAAAGGCCAAACTGAGAGTCTTACGTATCCCTTTGCTTTGCAAAGCATGTAGCGAAGCAACTCTGTTTTTTCAATTCGTTCCTGACAGGATTGGCACGAGCCCCATCGACTCGATCAGCTGCATGTGGGTGGCAGGATGCTTCCGGGCGGGAATACTTTTCCGGCATCAGGGCTCATATTGTCTTTGCACCGGCAAGAGCCCTGCAGTCGTGCATGCCACCAAATGATGGTTTCATCAGCACTTTTCGATTGATGTTTAAGAAGGTCCTCATAAATACGTTATGAATTTAAAGTAGTTTGTACGTAGAGGGTATACATAGTGTATTGTAATCCCAAATCTGAAAACATCCATGAATAGTTTTGTGCATGTGTGGATTCCATATTCACTGAAACTCGATACAAACTCTGCTGAGGTTCTCCGTCTCAAAGAGGTTTCCTGGAAGTTTGCTGGCAAGCTGTTGCCGGAAAAGCTGGACGAGAGACGGATGCCAAAGAACATGAAAGAGTTCAAGGATCCTTTCTCTGAGGAGACAGAGGAAACACGCGCTCTGGTGCTGGACAATGGACCGAGACACGGCTGATCATGATTTCGTTTCTTTTCGTGAGAGGACTAGGATTGTGAATTGGTGTCCTAGACAATAAGCCGTCGAATGATGTTATGCCTGCATGGAAAGGAACATGTTCGAGCATCGTCTCTGTGGACTTCACGATGCTGCCTGGTCCAGAACAGACAGGGGAGCAGACTGAGGGAATAGCCTCGCATCGTTTAATTCCAGAAATCAGGTTCCTGTGCCGACTGAAATCATTCAATTCAATACTTTTGATAATATTAGAGTGGCAAATATCCAGGTTGAGATTTTCGAGTACACCATCCACGTGAGCCCCGCTTCCTTGGAATGCAAGTGTGGTGGGATCCTCATTCGCAGAGGATCCAAACCATATTCGCTGTTGGTGCACCTTTTCATCTCAGAGACCATCCTGAGCATAACCTCGGCTGCCTTGTCGGAAATCCTCACTGCCTACGAAGCCCGTATGCCGAAGAACAGCAGCAAGCATGCGAAGATCAGAAAACTCTTGACATTGGCCGATGTCAAAGAAACCCTGGGTGACCATGGGGTGGCACGAATGGAGCAGAAGCTGCAAGAGATCGAAAAGAGTAGGTCATCAAAAAAAAGAGAGAGAGAGAGAGCAGGAAACCGAAGATGCTACAATGCATGAAACTGGAATCAAGAGTAATTCTGTTTTTGGTGAGGGCATAGTAGAATCAAACCATCACGTAACTCTATAGTTTCTGTCTTCTTTATTTGAGGACGAGAAGGCCGAGGAAGAAGACCCTGCAGTGGCTGCTTGCAACCAGCTCCTCGCAGAGCTGGATGCCGAGGAAGAGAAGGAGGAAGAGAAGGAGGAAGCAACCGATGCACGGCAGCATTCAGTTCAATGATCGTTAGGCGGCTTAGAGACGTTGGATTGTCTAGGTGTACATAATTTAAACCGCACGAACAGAGTAGTAATAGGTTCAACGCCGTTGCTCTGAAACTGTGTGCAATTCTTCACCGTATTCAGTGGTCCAAACACGAGGAGCAGACTGAGCAGCCGACGACAGAGGACAGCACGCGGGCTTCGAAAGCTTTGCTCAGCAAGACTGAAACTGTTCCGCGGTGGTTGCTGGAAAAATATGCGATTCCTGACGGCGGCTGCATCCACCACACCCAGTTTCGCGACACGTCCCTTCCGCTTTTCCAAGCCAAATTGCACCATGGCAAGATCTTCGAGGGACAGAAACAAAGCTGCAGATTCAAGTGGTGTGGTTTCGTGCTTTTTTTGGCGAGCGAAGGCTTTTCATTCTGGGTTCCGATATAGCAACACAGCAGCTAAGGAACAGCATCAGTGCGAGTTACAACCCGACCCTGGACCGCGAACAAATCAATGAACGATTGACACTTGTGAAGACAATGCCAGCACGGCAGCGATCCATGGCCCAGGCCTACTTTTTTACCTGGAGTTGGCTTTGCCGTGCGGTGAAGCCGAAAGAGAAGAAGCGGAAGCGAGGGCAGGCATGAAGATAAGAGTGCAGTGATAAAACAGCTAGGCTTTCGTGCTAGCAAAGAATAGGACGATCATGCTTGCACTGGCTTTTGTGTCTTCGACGGGGGATCAGAGACACAGCTTGCGTGTGCGAAAATAGGACCGAGGACCGAAGCGCAGACAAACGAGACAGCATGCAAACATCTTTGGAGAACGAAGCTTCAGCCGGCATGCGAAGGGTAACCCTTGATTCAAGACCCCTAAACATAACCATAAAACCTTTGTGAAGATCTTCCAAAGCCTACACCCAAACCCTAAACCCTAAACCCAAAAGCCTTCAAACCCAAAAAAAATGCGAAATGAGGTCCTGGGCCAAGACTTTGCTTGGCAAGCAGCCGTCCTTCCGGTCGACAGGCTCAACAGTCTAGGCGTTTGTGATGTCATGCCGTCTTGCAGATGCCTCCACAATAGTATGATAAAGGACTTATGAAGTATTTATAAAGCTTTAGAGCGTGCTTTTGAGGGCTATGTTTCGGGTCCTAGGAATCTGCTTGGGATCATCCTCTTCGGCTCCCAAGGAAGAGTTCTATCATTCGTAAGGTTACCCTAACCACAGGTACCTACTATACAGGGCCCTAGGGGCTCTAGTACCCTATATAGTAGGTACCTGGGGGTTAAGGTTATGGAGGGGCTGTGAGTCGAAGAGCTAGGATGTACCCTACGTTCCAAGAGGGTGTGAGGGCCCCACTTCTCCTGGATCTCTCTCTTTTTTGGGGCGTCTCAGAGGTCCTAGCTTTGAGGGTCTAAGGCCATATGAGGGCTTTACAGATTCGGGTGGATGCTGTTTTTTCTTTAGGCGGTTGGCGTGGAGGGTCAACGGTTTAGGGCTTAGGGTTTAGGGTTTAGGGGTTTAGGGTTTAGGGCTTTAGGGTTTACGGGTTTAGGGGTAGCGTCTCAGGGTTGAGGTATCAACGAGTTCCACGTGCCTTTGACCTGCGGCTTGTCACAAACTGCAGTACTTGAGCCCGAAGACAGGGGTTTGGCGTGCCTGGGTGAAATCTGTAAAACCTAAACCCTAATTGAACCCCAAACCCCAAGCCCAAAACCCTTGCAATTCAGTACACCCCGCAAGTCCGACGCGAGTACAACGTCCCGGCCAACCCTCCAAAAACCTAACTTGCGTGATATCCCGTGTATATACAGGGACTTCAGAGAGAAAGAACGAAAGAAAGAAAGAAACAAATAGAAAGAACTAAAGAAATAACAAAATTAAGACAGAAATACAGACATGAATAACGCAAGAAAGAACGCAGTAAATAGCAACAAACAGAGAGATAGATCGATATGATAGACAGGTCGATCGATATATAGGTAGTTGGATCGGTCGACCGATAGATAGATAGATAGATAGATAGCTAGATAAATAGATAAATAGATAAATAGATAACTAGATAGATGGATGGATGCAAAGATAGGTAGATAATTTTTGTGTGTATATATATATATTCATAGATAGATATAGATAATTATACAGATAGATAGATGGACATCTCGGCAGCTAAAAGTAGGGTTGACAATTTTCTTGCTACTAGAAGTAATGGCACATATGCGTACCTTAGCTGATTCCCTCGCCTATGCTACGGCAAAACCGACGTTCAGGTTCTTGAGTGTGAGGAGTTTCGAACATTAACTGGTATACTTCGCGGGTATCTTCCAATCCGTTAGATTCGCTTCAAAGACATGAAGTGTGTTGCTGCTTAACTCTCTTCTTCAACAACCAGACCCAAACAAGTTCAAACTTTTTAGGCTAGACCTAATGTATAAAGCCCAAAAAACTTTTTAGGATAGACCTAATGTATAAAGCCCAAAAAGTTTAAAGTTCTCCCATCGGCTATCTAAGTTAAAGCTCCGAAGAACACTTACTAGGAAGCCTAAGCCCCCAAACCCCCAACAGTCCTCGTCCAAGGCCAATCCCTTGAAGATGGCCTCAGAGGGTGTCACGGGTTCAGGGGGGCTTCAGAAAGTGGGAACCCCTTCGTTCGGCGGGTTTCAGGTTTGGGGTTTAGGGTTTGAGGTTTTTGGGTTTCATGGCTGCAGATGGTTTTAGGAGTTTAGTTCGGCGGAGGCTTTCGCAATTTCTACAAGGCTTTACAGGGGAATCTGTTGGCTTTTAGGGTCGCTCGCTAGTTATTCAGAAGTCCTGATGATCAAGACCTTAAGATGGAAGGGTGGTGACTGTTCGGCAACACCCAGTCAGACTGCAAGAAGTCCAGATTCCAGGTCTTCCAGTGTTCCAGACTCTTGCGTGGCACGGACCAAAGGTCTTACACGTGCACCACGTCCAGCGCCGGCAGCCCAATCTTCTGGTCTACCAATAGGCTCCATAGTAGTTCCTTTTTGTGGTTGATATTTAGGATCCTATAAGGTAATCCCAAAAAGGAACTACTATGGAGCCTATGGGTAGCCAGTCGGTGTGGAAAGGATTTCCATAGGAACCATTGGCTCGGAATTTGGACTTGCCTTAGACAGGCAGATAGATGCAGGCGATCCTGTACTACGTGGACTGTCAAGAGAGCAATGGAAAGTTGCATCGAACGGTTTGGGGAACTGGCAGTGGGTGCCCGGCACGGCTCGTACCCGCAAGCTCCGGGCAAGTATTCGTCCGACAGACAGGTGTTTGTGGGTTTCGCTAAGACTCCAAGTATACAAATAGTACCCACTTTGGGGTCTAAAGTCTGTAAATGGTACCTACTTTGGGCTATTTGGAGTCTTAGGCGTGTTTGTGGGTTTGTGAATGTCGCAAGCTCCTGCGTCAATTGGCTTTGCACGGATGCTTAGAAAGTTCTATTCGGGTATATAAACTTGATCCAACCTGAAACTCCAGCACTCTCTGTTACCCTCTAAGCCCCTAAACCCTAAACCCCTAAACCCCCACAACCCTAAACCCTAAAATGAATCCAATTCAGGAGTCGAAGTCTTGCCTTGGTTGAGGACACCGGCCAGCTCATGCATTTAGGGTTTAGGGATACTTGCTCAAGGGTCCTATGTTCAGTTTGTGGGGGTGTTGATAGCTAAGCGCAACCTGGCCAGCTGATTAACAAGTCCCCAGGTTTTTAAGCGGCTTGCAATATATAAGGATCCCACTAGTCATGCCTTGTTCATCAGTGGCCATCTGCATTCTGATGCTGAACCTAACACGGTACAACCCTGTGACGCCTGCAAAGGGCAGCCACTATGACGCTCGAGAGAAACACGCTGCACAACCGCAACAAAACTTAGCTGGGGCCTAGAGAGCTCAAACACTCCTATATGAAATGTGCACGCACATAATACATATATATATACACACACACACAAACGCATACATATAGCAGCACATGTACATAAATGCATGCATGCATGCATGCAGACAGACAGACATATATATATATATACATATATGTATATACATGTATACATATATACATACGCATATTCGAGACAATACATAAACACAAGTGCATGAGTACCTGTATGCGTGTATCTATAGAAACATGAATTATACTGTTATATACTGTGTATGTATTACATTGCTTTTGCTTTGGGAGTTTCGGCCTCGGCTTCGGGGTATACGAGCATCTCCTCCAAGCAAGGGGGCGATTCGTCCTCCCACGGCGGACTTCTGTTCCAGGGCGGAAGCTCTTCTCTGCTTCTTTCTTGACGTGTTTTTGTTGTGTTGTGTTGTCTATTCTGCTGTTGGAAGCTTCGTTTTCGATGACAGGGCTCTGCGGCTTAGGATGTGGTTTCAGGGCAGTTAGCATGGAGAGAGAAGTTCCTGCAATCCCTAAAATCCACCAAGCAGAAGATTACCACCCCCCAACCCTTCAAATCGTAGGTAGTCGCTGCCCACTTATCCTTTGACTACGTACGTACTAGGCTATTTCCCCTTACCCTTTAGATAGTTGGTATGATTGGCTCCACAGGTTGCTATACTGCAAGGCAAGACTCCTAAGGACACTGCAAGCCCATGATGGGAGCAGCTAAGAGTGAGTACTTCCCTAAATCCTACACCCTAAACCCGTAGCCCGAAACTCCAATCCTTACAGACACCACGACCTTCAAAACTGAAACACAAAATCCGTTTCATCTAATCACACAGCGACACAACATCAAGTGCAAGAACACACCGGCCACAGCTCTACGGAATATCTTAATCCACAGTGCAGAACAACTGAGACACAAAGAAAAGCATAGCCTCCCTCAAACCCTATAAAATCCTGAACCCTAAACCCTGAAACCTAAACCCTAGACCCCAAATCTATACATCTTCTAAGGCCAATGCCTTCTAGAACGATCAAAAAACGAAAACAGATTATCTCAGAAACACAACCCGAAAGCCGCCTATAGACTTTCTGTTTAGGGTTTAGGGTTCAGGGT